TCCACTTCTATAGCTCCTTTTCCTTTTAGGTCCTTGGGATGCTTTATTTGGATTTTGTTTCACTAAGTGATCTGCTTTGGTTAAAGTTGCATCAGCAAACATGCAGTCAAAGGCCTGACAGTTGCTTGCCATCTTGTTGATCTTGGAGCCTTTACCAGGGGAATTTGTCTGTGAGAGTATGAGAGATCAAAGCGCCCCCAGAAAGCCCTGCTGACCCAGAAGCTAAGTGCAGATGCCTGGAGAACCCTCACAAGACATCCTGAGCCTGGCCAGGAACTTTTCCAGATGAGCCCTGATCTGTAGAATCATGGAATGATTATCATTTTAAGTCAGTTTTGGAATGGTTTGTTATGTGGCAATGGATAACTGATATACTGAGAATATTGATGAAGCAAGATTAACCAAATGTAATAATGGGTAATATCAGGTTCATTTTATTACTCTGTATTCTTAAATTTTTTTTTAAGATTTATTTATTTTTAAGAGATAGAGTGTGAGCGGGGAAGGGGAAGAGAGAGAGAGGTAGGCACAGAATCTGAAGTAGGCTCCAAGCTCCGAGCTGCCAGCACAGAGCCTGATGTGGGGCTGGAACCCACAGACTGTGAAATCATGACCTGAGCTGAAGTCGGCCGCTTAACCAACTGAGCCACCCAGGTGCCCCTCTTTTGTCTATTTTTAAATTGGGGTATTTGTCTTTTTATTGTTGAACTTTAAGAGTGTTTTACGTATTCTGAATATGTGTCCTATTAGATACATGATTTACAAATATTTTCTCTCATTTTGTGGGTTATCTTTTCACTTTCTTGATGATGTCCTTTGAAGCATGAAAGTTTTACATTTTGATGTCTGGCTTGCCTATTTTTTTTTGTTTGTGCTTTTGATGTCCTATCTAAGAATGCATTGCCACATCCAAGGTAATAAAGATGTACACCTATGTTTTCTTTTTAGAGTTTATAGTTTTAGTTTTTACAATTTGGTCTTGATCCATTTTGAGTTAATTTTTGTATGTGATATGAAGTAGGGGTCCCACTTCATTCTTTTGCACCTGGATACCTGCTTAAACCAGCATCAATTCTATTTTTCTTAATTTTTAAAAATTGTTTTATTACTTATTTTTGAAAGTGAGAGAGACAGAACCAAAGGGGAGGCAGACCACAGAATCTGAAAACAGGTTCCGCTCCTGAGCTGTCAACACAGACCACACAGAGCTTGAACCCGTACCCATAGGATCATGACCTGAGCTGAAAAGAAGTTGGATCAACCACCACTACTAGCCAACAGGCACCCTAATTAATGCATGTATTATATTACTGTTCTAAAACTTTCTGTAGCATGAAAAGTTACAAAGAAACTACTTAATGTCGGTATTACTTGAAACAATTTTTAGTGAATTTGTTTAAATTTTCTTACTATTATTGCAAAGGGCCCAGATGCAACTAGAGTGGCGACCGGATGCTAGACCCAAAGAATTGCTAAAATATGCTTGATTCAAAATTAGAAAATATACCTACCCTATGACCCAGCAATAGCAGCTAAGAAGTATCCAGGGATACAGAGTGCTGCGATGCATAGGGCCAGGTACCTAAGTTTACATTTTTGAACAGCACTTTCTAGTCAACAGACAATTATGGAAAGAGCTAAATGTCCATCACCCTGATGAATGGTAATAAAGAAATTGTGGATATATCAAGTGAGGAATACTAATGCAATGAGAAAAGAATGAAATGCCTTTTATGTTAATGTGGATGGAACTGGAGAGTGTTATGCTAAGTGAAATAAGTCAGAGAAAGACAGTACCTACACATGTAGTTTCACCTCGCTGTGGATCCTGAGAAACTTAACAGAAGACCAGGGGGGAGTGGAAGGGGGAAAAAAAGTTACAGAGAGGGAAGTAGGCAAACCAAGAGGGCTCTTTCTTAAATAGAAGAAAAACTGAGGCATTGTTGGGGAAGGGTCGGGGAGAGAGGGGAGGAAAAGTAAGAGATGGGCATTGAGGAGGGTACCTGTTGGGATGAGCACTGGGTGCTATATGGAAACCAATGTGACAATAAATTATATAAAAAATAAATTTCCTTTAAATGTTTAGTAATGCTCTTTTTCCTTTTTTATATTTAATTTTCAAAAATTATTTAAAATATTTGTATTGTTTCAAAATTAAAACTATAAGTGTCCAGAAAGTTCTAGCTTTCAGCTCTGTCCCCATTCTTTCTCTCTCTCCCCTTAGGTATTCATTTATATTAGTTGTTACGTGATTATACTGGGAGTCATTTTAGAGATTTGTTAGTGAATTAGGAGTTAAATTGGTGACAGATACATAGACAAGTAGACAAATGAGAGAATAAGGCAATTATTAATCTCAACAAGTTACATTTGTTTCAGCAAAGGAGAATTAATCACATTATAAGATTTGCTATATATGAATGGATGTATGTTGTCATGTCATTGCAAAGAGTATCCATCGATCTAACTAAAATTACAATACAACTGTATTGGAAATTTGGGGGATGGAAAGTTGTTTGAATATGGGTGTGACGAAAAAGCTAATTCTGGGCCACCTGGGTGGCTCAGTCGGTTGAGCATCCGACTTCAGCTTAGGTCACGATCTCATGGTTTGTGGGTTCGAGCTCTGCGTCCGGCTCTGTGCTGACAGCTCGTAGCCTGGAGCCTGCTTGGGATTCTGTCTCCCTCTCTCTTGGCCCCTCCCCTGCTCACACTCTGTCTCTCTCTGTCTCTCAAAAATAAATAAACGTTTAAAAAAATGTTTTTTAGAAAGTCATCATCTCCGCGCAGAAGGGAGGCAAGACATGTTGGTTTTGCCTAACAAGCCTTGTGGTTATGTTATGAGTATCTCTTCGAATCCTTACTAGTTGTATGAGGCAGGCTCTTTCTTATACCTGTAGCTCCATGAGAAAATTAATGCTTTGGGAGTTTGTTAGCCATCTACTGCTGTGTAATGAATTATAACAAAATTTGGCATCTGGAAACAGCAAACATTATTACCTCATAGTGTCCGTGGGCCCTTGGGCTTCTCTGGGTGGTTCTCACTCAGTCTCTCACAGGGCTGCAATTAAGATGTCAGCCAGTGCTGCAGTCATCTTGGTGTTTGTGGAGATCTGTTTCAGGGCTTACTCACATGGCATGCCCAAAGCCTCCAAGCTCACTCCGGGGGTCCTCTTTCCAGGGCGGCCACGGGACACAGCAGTTGACTTCCCTGACAGCAAGTGATCCCAGAACACCCAAGATGGAGGCCACTGCCTTTTTAAAGTCCAGTCTTGGTAATGACAGATGCTACCTCTGTCATATTCTGTTAGAGGCACATCTGTAAGTCCAGCCCACACTTAAGGGGAGGGCATGAAATCAGGAACAAGACATGAAAGCTAAGGGTGTGGATAAGATGAGTTATCGTCAAGGTTGCCTGCCACAGGAGAAGTGGCTTCTCCCAGTAAGTGGTAAGCGTAAGTACGTAAGTCTAAGTGGTAGCTCTGTGATGCAAAACCACCCAATTCGATTCCAGGGCTCGTGTTCTTAACCGCTATGTAACCTTTGTATGTTGCCTGCATGGAATTTACCCTGAACGGGAAAACAGTACCTCCTTTGACGCCACTGCCATCTTGGACGTGTGGGAGTGGCCAGGAGGGATAACTCACGTAAGAGCTGACTTTCATACGTGTGTCGCACACTCTGGTGTGTTAGGTTGGGGTAAACACGAATAAGCTGTACGTTACGCTCAGTGTGTACGATGCAAACTAGACTCCCCCACTTACCTCTGCTTCGGAAAGGGTGCATGACTGCAAGAGAGAATTATATGGGTACAAGGATAACCTTGAATTCACTCTAATTTATAAAAAGTCACACCCTCTCAAGCTTTAGAACTTTATTGGTAATGAATTACCTGAGAACCCCCTCACACTTGATCATGACAAAATGCAGCTTCGTATTTCTGGGATGGGGCATTAGTCACAGGGGCACGCTGGCTAAGGTGAGGAGTTGGTGCTATATCTTTAAAGCTGTTGAGAGCCACTGAAGTGTGTTAAGCGTGGAAGGATGACATAATTGGATATGTACCTGCTGCTCTGAGCTATGCCATCGTGTCTAAAACATCAGACGACATTCCACATTCTCATGCATGAGACGGCAGATGCTTCCTTTACACACCACCGAATCCATTCATGTTGATGTAATGAGATTTATAAATTTCTCCTATCTGCATATTGGTCCGAGTACCCCATCTCCAGGCCCCCGTGCCTGCCTCTCTCTGTGTGCATAAACACCTTTGTGGCTACGGCCACAGCTTCTCTCTGTGTGCTTTTGATGGCACAGACTGATTGCCTCATTCAGGGTCTGTGGTCACATGGCAACCGTGCTGTTGACACATCTTAGGAACTTAGTGAGTGCTTGTTAAGTCAAAATGGACTAAACCTGACTGGACACCTGCTCTGTGTTTTAGGTACTGTGCCGAGCTCTCGTTGTGTAGAAGTAAGATAGTGTTATTTTGTTAATAAAAAAAGACACGACTGTATGTATTCATTCAGTTTTTCATCCACTAATCAAACATTTTTGAAGTCCTGCTGTGCATGTGGCCTTGTGCCAGGTGCTAGAACACAGCCTGAGACAGCACTGCTCTTCCAGCTTCTGTGACCACTGGGGAAGACAGAACAGTGTATGGTGATCCTAGCTCAGCCCACTGTATGGGCACAGAGGAGGGGCACAGACGTCAGCAGAGAAAAGGGCCACAGAGGAGTGAAGGGGAGACTTTCTGGAGGAAGTAACCTCTGAGCCGTTTGGAAGAATAAGTGAATAAATGCTCGGGTGAATGGAGGCTCAACTCCATCAGTATTGGGACACTGGTTTGTTAGGACTTGATGGGAGGGGGGAATCGGGGCTATAGAAGCGGGAGGAACCAACCCTGAAAGTAGATATAGGTAGGAGGTACCAATCCCTCCAGAGTGGTATGTAGAGCCAAGCAGAGCTTTATCTCTGCTGTCTTTGTGTCTTTCCAGCCCTCTACGAGCAATCCTGCGAGGTATACAGGCACCAAGGGAACACGGCTGGTTTCTTCTACATCGATTCCGATGGCAGCGGGCCGCTGGGACCCCTCCAAGTGTACTGCAACATCACAGGTAAGGGGCAGAATCCCCACTCAGGCTTAACCGAGCTACCTGATGGTACACAGCACAGGGAAGTCCACTGGAAGGGGACCTGTGTAAATAAAGAATTAAAGAGCCAACCTCAGGTGTGGGGGGCATGGTGTTTAAGTAAATAATAGCAATTAGCAGCTGGATTATCTTTCATAGGAGAGGAAGACTTAATGGTCTTAATCACATTCAGCCAAACCTAGAATTAACCAGGAAGCATTTTCTGTAGACCCTGCCAAGGACATTTTCTCTTTTAAAACTCAAGAGCAGAAAGAAAAGGAAAAAAACAACTAAACAAACCAAAAGCAAACCTGAAAATCAATAGAGAACCCTGACTCAGGAAGTGGGGAAGTGTGATTCATGTCTGGCCCCGGGGATGGTGTGAATCCCATATGCTCTCTGAGGCTCAGTTGTTCATCAGTGAAATGGGCAAAGTAGTTCCTTCCTCCCAGAGTTGAAGATTAGACACAATCATGAGTATTGGAGGAATCAGCAAGGCTAGTTACCCAGTAGGTGCCCAACAAGAAAAGTGAATTACTTGCATTTTTCCAGCCACTCCTTCCTAAAGTGCAGAAAGACATAGTAAGAATCAATTATTGCACGGATTTAGAAACAATCTATGATCACTAACTTATTCTGCAAAATAATTCTACAAAGCCCAAACCTGATGTAATAGTTTCTTAAAAATTCAGCAGTGCAAGTACCCTCACCATCGTGAGGGTCACTCATTGGCGCATACGCGTTGTGTGTGTTTGTTCCGAGCACTGGCCTTTGGAAATGACAACAGAATCATGTAATAAAGCAGAAAAGCAGGGGCTATTAAAGCTCATTGCTTCTTCAGGCCTCAGGCGTCCCTGCAACAAGGCAAGCACATTCCCTGAGCTCCTTCTGTAGCCACAGACTGGCCTTGGCACGGAGGATATGTGGAGAAATTAGATACAGCCACTCTCATTTATGAGGCAGGAATATCGGGAGAAATGTCGGGCATATCACAGGTAGAAATGCAAGCAAACCATTGCAAAAATGGTGATTATGGGCACTTTGCAATTTGTTCATCTGGATGCAAACGACCAAAGTTTTTCTGCAGAAGATGCTATTTACACGGATTTAGAAGCATTTCCTTGCATCTCCTTAACACTTAGTGCATCTCTCCAACCTGCACGTATGCTGCTTCCCAACTAGCCCATAATATAATTAGAAACCGTGGGACTGTTTTCTTTTCATTGTTATGGTAACCTATAGGGCTAACCTGGAGCTAGTTTTCTCCCTGGATCTTGGTTATTTTCCAAATGTAATTAACAAATGGATCTCCAGCAGTTCCTGCTAAGAATACAGACTTTCTAGCTGAGGACATTCGAAATTAGTAAACGCCCTTTTACTGAGCCCCGTAAGTGATTCCGATGCAAGTTGTCCCTGGTCTACACTTTACCAAAAAATGGAGGAAGTGATTTAGCTGAAGAGTGAGGACGAGGAGAGTGGTTCCTGCTGCTGAGAGATCAGGTGTGGTCACTCAGCTTCGACCAACTTCGGGAGCTGAACTGAGAGCTTACCAATACCACCTCTTTCCCTCCTCACCATAAAAATCCGAGGTAGATATTTTTATCTCTGTCTTAATAGAAGGAAAGAGAAGATGAGAACTTCGTGACTTTCTCGAGGTCATAAATACTGGAGCTAATAGTCAAGACTCAGGAAGCAAACAAAACCTTCTGGTGCAGTAATAATTTATATCACTAAAACATTAATTGGATACTTGTATTGCTTTGTTTTGCTTTACACAGTGATGCAATTTTTGTTATAAAGTAAATCAATATTAATTATAGAAAATTTAAGGAGAAAAGCAACGTATCAAGAAAATGGTGAAGTGACCCCTCAGCCACAACCCAGAGACTGCTGTTGGTACTCTATTGTTAGGATTTCCTTGGGATTTTTTTTTTCTGTGAATGTGTATGTGTATTTCTTCTGTGAATGTACCTGTTTTTTTAATATATATTTTAAAATCAAGCATCAACTTTCCTTTTTGTCATTAAATATTTTGAATTTATTTTTTGTTTTTTAACATTTATTCATTTTTGAGAGTGAGAGAGACAGAGCATGATCGGGGGAGGGGCAAAGGGAGGGAGACACGGAATCTGAAGCAGGCTCCAGGCTCTGAGCTGTCAGCACAGGACCCAACAAGGGGCTTGAACCCACGAAGTGTGAGATCATGACCTGAGCTGAAGTTGGACGCTTAAGTGACTGAGCCACCCAGGCGCCCCTGAAAAAATTTTTTTTACATTTATTTATTTTTGAGAGACAGAGAGACAGAGCACGAATGGGGGAGGGGCAGAGGGCAAGGGAGACAAAGATTCCTATGCAGGCTCTAGGCTCTTAGCTGCCAGCACAGAGTCTGACTCGGGGCTTGAACCCACAAACCATGAGATCATGCATGACCTGAGCCGAAGTCAGACGCTTAACCGACTGAGCCACCCAGGCGCCCCATGCCATTAAAATATTTTGAAAATAAAATATATACATTAAGTGTAGCCTTAAATTTTTAAACTCTTCAAACTAATGCGAGTTCAGGGACACAAAGGGTGTCATTGATTCATAGGTCTCATTTACATGGAGCTCCCTGCCTCTCATTGGAAACATTTCTCTCAGGGCTTCTGTAGGATGTTTTGTCCAAGAATGGCTAAAGATGAATTTTCACTTGTATTTAAAGGTTGCTATTTTGCTGATGTGATACTGAAGGAATCAGGACCTCAGAGTTGTGTTCGGGAATGGATAGGCTTGATTATCCCTGATCAGGCAATTCTTTTACATACGGTTTTTGGTTATGTGCAGTTGCAAAACATAGAGGTTTTGCTTTTGTTTTTGTTTTTGTTTTCTAAAAGAACTATAGAAATAAAAGCAAACCTCGGCACAAGCTGAATTCTGTAATTCTCATATTTGACATTTCTAAAAACATAAATATAATGATCACATACATTTTTTTTTATTTATACATGTTAAATGTTCTTAACTATGAGTGATTTGTAACACCTGTAAAAATGTGACAAAGGGGTCCAGGGAAAGGAGGGTCCAGGAGAAGGGAGAGAGGAAATGGACAGCGAGAACCAAGAGAACTGAACAGGGGTGGGGTAGGGTGGAGGGGAGACTCATTCTGCTTAGGATCCGGTTTCTGAAAACAAAAAGTTGCTGTTCTCTGCACTTTTCAGCAGCATTACTGGGGTAACCCAGAGAGTGTAAATGACACCGGAAGGCAGGGAACCTTGTGCTAGTCAGCTGAGTGTCCCTGGCCTACTTGTCCATAAATAAGGTCTGGGATCCTAAAATAAGGATCTGGGGCCAGGTGGTCTCACAGGCCTTCCTCATTTAGAATTCCATGAGAGATCATTTGAGGTTCAACCGAAAAGGGGACGTTTCTCCTAAGAAGTCTATGGATACTTGCAAACAAATGTCATGGAAGTGAAGAGGGACAGATTTTAGTCTTGGAAAACAGGAAATTCGAATCCAAAATACATCTCTCTTTACAATGTACCCTGGGCAGGGGAGGGCATGAGCTCCCTTTCCTAATGGCAAGGTGGTGCCTCACCCCTCCCGGGAGATTAAGTCTGTGCATGTCACCTAGGACAGGGTGATCTTGGGGAGATGACCTCCCAGATGCTCACAGAGTAACCGCCCCGTTCACTGGATGGCAGCATAATCTCTGCACAGGGACAGTATGCCAATGTATGGGAGTAACCTAAGGGGGCGATTAGATTTATGTATAAAGTGGACTGTATCTGAACCTCTACACATTTTGATCCTGTGCCTGCCATACCTCATACTGTGTTCCAAGCCAGTTCACCACGGAGCTAGTGGGTAGGAGAGAAGGAAGGGCCACTGTTTGGATGGAGTGTTGAGTCAAATCATGGATGAGGAAGATAAAGAGGAAGCTTCTGCAGGAATGCACATGTGGGCTACTTCTAACATCTCTATATATGATTTACCATTCAGTTCAGCTTAGTGTGTATTTGCACGTTTCAGGCACTGTGCAGATTGCCAAGGATACAAAATAGTGTCTGCATCAGCTTCTCTTGGCTGCTATAACATTGAGTGGCTTAAAAATACCAAGAAGTGTATGCATCACAGTTCTGGAGGCTAGAAGTCCAAAATCAAGGTGCTATAGGGCCACACTACTTCTGAAACCTGTAGGGGAGAATCCTCCCTTGGTTCTTCTGGCTTCTGCTGGCTCACCCAACCTTTGAGCATTCCTAGGCCATAGCAGCAGCCTTCAGTGACTGCCTCCCAGCGATTGTCACCCTGCTTCTGTGTGACATAGTCACAGGTAACTTTCTCCTCTCATGTATCCTCTTATAAATAGGACACCAGTCATATTGGATTAGGACCCCTCCTAATGGAGTATGACCTCATCTTAAGTTGATTACATTTGCAAAGAACCTATTTCCAACTGAGGTCATGCTCGCAGGTGCCGAGGGTTAGAATTTCAGGAGGACAGAATTCTACCCCTAATGGTATCATTTCAGTCTTCTTCACAGGTTAGTCATGGAGCAGACACAGTGGAAATTATAATATAAGGATAATGACAGGAAGTGTATCGTGTTCTTCCAGCCTCTTGTGGAGTGGAAGGGTTTTTGGGCAGGCAGGCAATGCATGTTTCTGATACCTGGAGGGGGAGCACTAATGGGCCGGAAGCAGAGACGAAAGAGGGCATTTCCAGGAAGAGCAAATGAATGTCAGGAACAAAGTTCAAGGGTCTCGAGCCTGCATATTTGTGGGGGCCACAAAACTCACCAAGATGAGTCACAAGTTTAGAACACTGAAAAACTAATCAAATTGCATGAATAGGAAAGGATCAGTTTTACTTGAGCAGGGATAAGCAAAAGCTGTTGCAGGTCTGTAATCTGAACGAAAGTTTCCCAGCGAGGAAATCTACTGCGTCAATTCTGGGGAAAAGAAGGAATGTTTTATTATAGACAGTTACTGAGCATGTCAGACTAGTA